TGTTTCAAGTTCTGATGTGTATCGCCCAGACCTGCATAGCCCCCAAGCCTGGGAAGCCGAAAGAGACTTTTTGCCTGATATGGGTGCGGCAGAAATTAAATAGGCGCGTGAAGAACTACAATTTCGCTGGAAGATTGGAAGCGAGTTTTTGCCCATAGTCGTCCTACCTTGGAAATTTGATCTCTAGGTATACGGGCAAAGTGAGAAGAAACTTCCTAAACTAGAAGTTTTGTGTGTGTCACCCTGCACACATCCCTCGCGTGCATCTGCCTTGCTTATCCTGCAAACTTATGGGGAGAGTTGGCCGCTTTTATAAAGAACAAGGAGGATGCAGAATCGCAACCCGGGCGTCGACAGTCCGCAGAAAAGGTTGATTCACATCTGAAACACATCTGCAACGGTGCGAGTAAAGTACTGGATTTTGTTCAGTCGAGACAGATTTTTGCCAACAGCCCTGCGAATTCCACTGAGTATTCTCGTCAAGCTCGTAACTATATGACCCACATTTGAGGCGATACCATGACCGAAGACGGACTGAAAAAGACGAGCCGCTTCTCTGCCTCCGCATGTCCCTGAACTAGGGAATGCCCAAGAATGCGCTCAGCTTCGACCTCCCAACCCCTGTGCAAAACCAGAACCTCTCATGATTACAAGTTGCAAAAATTCAAGAGTTTCTCAGACCACCACAGATAAGTTTTGGATGAGCATGGCTACACCGATGCAGTGAACAACCGAAACTGAAACATTGCCAAGTCTACAACAGCCTTTTAGAGCAAGACATCTCCAACGGAATCATAGGGCTGTTTCGCGCAGAGCAGTATTATTTGATCTCTAGGCAATGATATTTGGTCGATAGGCAGTATTGAGTGGTCTCTGGCAGTAAACCCTGATCTCATGGAAGTAATACTTGATCACTGCGCAGGATCGTTTGACCTCAAGGCAGTATTATCCCATTTCGTGGTTCTCTAGGCAGTATTATTTGGTTTTCAGGCAATATTATCTGATTTCTGGGCAGTGGTGTTCAATACATAATGCGATCTCGAGGCAGTATTTTCTGCTCTGCGGCCATATCATCTGCGCTTCGGGGAAAATGTGCCGATTCATATTCGGGAAGACTATATATCATCAGAGAGAGCCCGACCGTGGCATAATTTTTAAGCGTCGCAGGAGAACATGTGATGTCAATTCCCAACCTCACACCCCCTTCCTGTAATTTCCTCAGATATTGAGTTCAGCTGTGCTGAACTCGAAAATGGGTGCAATTGCCACCTTTGCTTGTTTCAAGTCCACGTTCAAGTGCTGTATGTGCCGTGTGCATTTTATTTGAATTATTCTGCAGGGAATATTACAGAACTACATGAGAATGGAGTCCATAAAGCGGTTCATGAAGCCTGGAACCCGATCGAGCCAAATTGACAAGGGAGAACAGTGACGGCTTCACTGCGCCGCAGAGTGCTGGCCAAAAGCGGCGAATGTTGTCTCAGGGAAGTACACAGCAAATTGACAACCACTTTTGGCAAACCACACTGTGGCTCTTCGAGGGCTAGAATATCATGCATCAGAGCTGTCCCTCCGGCGAAGCCGGGAATAATAGATGAGATGAGATGTGATGAGTTAGATAAATATGAACGCCCAAGACCACCAGAAATAGTGTTCAAGGAATACACATAAAAAGCTGTCAAAAGAGGGGTTCGAAGTCCGAGGTAGCATTCAGACCGAGAATCAAAAATGACCGTCTTTCCGTTGCGAGCATAAACGGTATGGGCACCGGCAAGTGCCTCGCTTGTGCTGAGTCACCAACAAGAGATGCCCGTTACCATCATGTCTATCTCAAATCCCTGGAAATTTTCATAAAAGTAAAGCATGTACTTTGAGCAACCAAAGTGCCAAACCAGCAGCTATAACCAATTGAATGCGCAAGGAGACAGCCCACAGATCGAGTCATAGAACTACCGGCACCAATACTGCTTAGCCCTATGGCCCATTCCAGTCCTCATCTATGCAGTGCACATAGAAGGTATAAAGTAGCCAGAACGCTGCTCGAGCCCGCCAGCCTAAAATACACGCAAAGGCTATACCACTGCTCACATTGGCCGCCGTTTTCGATCGCAGCACCTCCCCCCCCCC